TCGGAAGTCAGTCGATTCAGAGGCTCATTGGGTTCACGCAGTAATCGGATGGAGATCGGCGCGCACGCGTGGCGCCTCGAGGGCGCGAGGCCGTCCGCCAACAAGATGGGACGACCAGATGGCATCTTTCATGCGTGATATTTCGAACGCAGCATCTCACTGGACTACCAGCATTGCAGAAGAGGACGAGGACGCGTTCGTGGAGTACTGCTTGCACATGTAGGGACGGGCCACTTTTCTCCCTCCCCCCACTCCCCTCCCGTCCTCCTCTTCTCCCCCCCCTTTTGCGCAGTGGCGGAAAGCTTGCTCGCTCGTCGCGCGCGTCCTTCGCATCGTGCACGCAGGTCGCACTGCTGTTGAGTTTCCACATTGTGCCCCGCCCGTTCACGGGCCAACCTGTTTGTCGCGATTCCTTTCGTCGCGCCCCTCGCGCGGTCCGCGGCCCCGTAGGGAGCTCCGCCGAAGGCCCCAGTAGCAGGGTACACATGCATCCCTGCGACTCATTCCGGCACGCCCCTCACACGGTTCGTGGCCCCATCGGGAGTTCCACCGAAGGCCCCGGTGGCAGGGTTTACGCGTGTCCCCGCGACTCATTTCGGCGCACCCCTCGCACGGCTCGTTGCCCCATAAGCGGCTCCACGCAATGTCCCAATGGCAAGGTTCATATGCGCCCCAGGCATTCATGTCGGCGCACCCCTCACGCGGTTCGTGGCCCAATAAGGAGCTCCACCCAAGACCTCTGTGGCAGGGTTTACACGCGTCCCCGCGACTCACTTCGAGGAAAAATCGTTTGCGCGAGGCCTTCGCGACTTTCCACGGCGCAAGGCCCATGGACCTTGAGACCCCATCCCAGGGATAAGACTTTAACTTTCGGGTACTTTCAACCATCCCGTGGTGCGTGGTCCTCGTTTTGAAAGACAGCTCCCTGCGTTTTTTTTTCCTGTCCTCCTCCCCGTTCGTGGTCCCATAAAAAGGGCTCCACCGAAGGCCCCAGTTGCAGGGTTCGCAGGCAGTTGTATCCCCACGCCGGTACATCTCTCATATGTTTCGTCGCCGTATCGGTTTTTCAACGAAAGAGATACATACACCCGCTGCGGCATTCACAGCTGCATATGGATAGGTCTTCCGCTAGGCTAATTGTTGTTTCGTATTTCTAGACACCTTCCTGGGGGTGTTCTTTGGGTCGTCTTCGGGCGCCTGCTCAGTGTGAAGGGCCTCCTGGAGCCCTCCGAAACTGTTCGGCCGCCCTCCTGACTGATTTGGGCCCGTTGCCTGGGCCCAGCAGGGGCTTTCCAGGAATTGCCAAAAACACGTGGAACCTTCAGCAAGGGCGTCCAGGGCCCCCCCGGTGCCAAGTATCCAGGGTTCCCGTTTGTGTGTGGGGGGGTCGCAGGGCCTCAGATGGCAGACGTTTAGACAAGTATGTACATATACACAGGGAGAGAGACACATATAAAAAGAGACAGACAGAGAGAGAGAGAGAGATATAAAGAGAAAACAAGCAAGAGAGAGAGAGAGAGATAACAACCATTTAAACTAAGAGAGAGAGAGAGAGGAAGAGAAGTAATGAAAGAGAGAGAGAGAGAGAGCGAGATCGAGGGGGGAAGTCTGAGAGAGACAGAGAGATAGAGACAGAGAGAGCGAGAGACAGAGACAGAAAGAGACAGAGAGGGAGACAGAGAGATATAGAAGAGTAGAGACAGAGAAAGAGACAGATATAGAGGGAGATAAAGACACAACCTCGAGGTAGAGAACGAGAGAGATAAGGATAGAAAGAGATATCGAGCGAGCGAGAAATATATTTACACATACAGAGTCATTGAGACAGTGGGATATACTTATATATATAGAGAGAGATAAACACACAAAGGGGCAGTGACACATAAAGACATGCACATATATATATATATACATATATATGTATCATCTGATATTCATGTGCACACATACAACTACATTTAATCCATCTATACATAAAAGGAGGGAGAAAGTGAAAGATAGAGAGAGAGGGACGGATAAAGAGAAAGAAGGAGAGAGAGAGAGAGATGGCGGGAGGGAGTGAATGAGGGAGGGTGTCTGAGTGAGTGAGGGAGAGAGGGAGAGAGAACAAACAACAAATACGTAGATAAAGAAAGAGAGAGTGAAAGAGAGAGAGAGAGAGAGAAAGAGGAATAGAGAGAGAGGAATAGAGGGAGATATGTGTATATATAGAGAGGGAGGAAAGGGATAACGTGTGGGAGAGAGAGGGAGAGAAAGAGAGAGAGAGAGAGAGAGCGTGGGAGAGAGAGATAGAGAGAGAGAGAGAGCGAGAGGGAGCGAGTGAGGGGGGAGAGAATGCAACTCTGGCCTTGCCCTGCAATTGCAGCAAGGGTCCTCGACTGTACTTTGCACTGGTGCAGGACAGGCAGCTTGGAGGGCTAGCATGGCACAATGCAGGGCCCGGGAGCATTGTTGCCATTCATTTCCTGAGCATGCATCAGCCCGCCCCTACACCTAGGTCGAGCATGCTGTGCATATTGCAGTCTCCATACACTCGGGCGTGGTATGGGCCCACGGCGCAGAGAAGCTGCCCCGGCACGCCCATGCGCTTGCTCCGAAACCCTTCCTTCCTCCCCACCCACCCCATTCCTTCCCTCACCGAGCGCGCTCAACGTCAGAAAAAAAAACAGGTGTAATGGATCGTAAGTCCACCTCGGCGGATCCAGCCCGTTTGCGAGTAGCCCTTTTGCGAGTGTTGGAACGCGTTTGTCTGTTCCCTCTTCCACCCCGCCTCCCTCTCTCCGCCTCCCCTCCTCCCTCCCCCTCCCCTCCCCGCTCTCGGCTCTCCCCACCTCGCTCCACAGTCCTCCTGGCCCCTGAGTCCCCCTGGCCCGGCCCTGCCGCGCAAGGTCCGCGCTGGCGGGCGTCTCCCCTCGGTTGCGGCTGGGGGATGGGCCCAGAGAAATCGCGACGGGAGCCCTAGACCCAGTTTTGCCGCGCCACGTGTCCGAGCTGGAGCGATCTGTGAGGGTCCCGGGGCCCGAAACCCAGGGAACACGCCCGTTGGGAATTGCGACGCCCAGGGTCCCAAAGGCCCGAAACCCAGGGAGCTGCGACGTCAGGACCTCAGGGTTGGGGGGAATTTGCGCTGGTCGCGCCCCGATGCTGTGGACGATGCTGGCGGCGGTGATGATCCCGTGGGTCTCGGTTCTGTCTCCGCCGGGTGCTGCCGGCCAGCCCGACGCGGAGGTTCCAGCACAGCGCGGTCCCCCGGAGGGCCAGGGGCGGCCGACAGCCATGGCCTGCCGCGCCGGGGAAGGGAACGAGGCGGGAGATCGGCGGACCGCGGCAGGCGCAAACAGCCCATGGGGGGGTCGGGCGGTGCGTCGTGGGGGGGGCGCCAACACCGGATGTCAGGAGGGTCAAGCAGTGGCGAAGCGTCCTGGCTTGCCGATGGGCCCACCAAGCAGTGTTCTAAGAACCTTCTGTGGTTTCTACGAGATGTTCTTAGAACAGTTCTGGCTGGGACTGTCTTGCTTTAGTCCATCGGGTTTATGTTCTAAGAACACTGTCTTTGTTCTTAGAGCATTTTGGACTTCCAAGAACATCCCGTGGTAGGCCTATGGGAACGCCGGACGGTCGGTCTCTGCTAAAGAGGGACAGTTGCGGCAGTATTTGGTGCAAGGGACGTTTCGCGCTCCCGCCGGAGCGCTCCTCAGCGGGGGGAGGGGGTGGAAGAAAGGTGCACCTCCCGTGCCCTGAAGGGGCCCTCAAGAAAGGCGCGCCTTTTGCACCCTGCAGGGCCCCCCCCAAAGGGGCCCCCCTGCGGCCCCCAACAGCAGCGCGCACGGCGCACATTTCTCTTCCCGTCCTTCTTCTTTCTCGCCCCCCCCATGGAAGCAGCGCCCGCTGGAAGGGAGGGGCGGGGCGGCGGCGTGCCAGAGAGTGGGGAGCGCCCCTCCCGAGAGGGCCCGGAGGGGCCTCGCGGAGCCCCTCCCCGCCCCCGCGGGGAGAGAGCCTTGGCTCCGCTGTCCGACCCACGCTCTCCCGTGTGTCGAAGGCTCGGCAAAGTCTCGGCCTGCTGAGAAGTTTCTGAGCCTTCCCGAGCACACAGAAAACTGTTCAGAAGGCACATGGGTTTTGAGAAGTCCAGCGGCCCTCTGAGATATAGGCCTCCCAGAGGGGGTCGGAGTAGATAGGAGGATCGCGCCGCATCGGCGATGCATCGCCGATGCGGCTCGATGTGGAGCCCGATTTCCTTCACGTTGACGTCGCCGATGCATCGCCAACGTCGACGATGCATCGCCGGTGGATCGCCGATGCATCCATCGCCGATGCATCGCCGATGTATCGGCGATGCGGCGCGCCCCTTCGACCCTATCTACTCCGACTCCATCTGGGAGGCCTCTACACAGAAATCTTTCTCAGAAGGCACGTGGGCGTCTGAGAAGCCCCGCCGCCTTCCGAGAGGGCCTTCTCCTCCTCACTTCCCACCCCGCTCGCCGCCGGGTGTGGGGACGGAAGCCGTCGCCGACTCCGTCGTGTGCCGCGACGGCCGAGCGCACGTCGTGGCGGAGCGGTCGGAGCTCGGGGAGCGGTGCGCCCTCCAGGCACACGGCTCCCGGTGCCGTCCCAGGGAGCGGCCTGGCCAGAATCGCGGGGCGGATCTTTCCGTGGGGGACGAGAGGCCTCCAGGCCGCCCAGGAAGGCCAGAGAAGGTTCCGAGATCTTTTCCTCTATGTTTTCTTTGTAGTTCTACCACGCCCTCCCGGCCCCAGCCAGATTCCACCCCACGGGGCCACGTGCAGTATACAGAAATCGCGCACCACGGAGGGAATTTGTACACCAAACCCACGGCCAGGATCCTTGCCCCCCCCGGTTTTTTGGGGGGCACAGTCTACAATTTTTTTCGGGCGGATCCTTGGACCTCGGATCCCAGGGCTCAGAATGGCGAGAGAGCGCGCGTTGCCACACCCGTCGGCCGTCTGCCTCGTCCGCGGTGCCCCCCCCCCCCCCTGGAGTGCGGAGGAGGGCACGCTGGAGGCGGCATCCAAGAGCCGTGGTCGGCTTGCCATCTTGCCTCGCGGGGGGCTCACTGAGCCGACGAGCAGGCCCTGCAAAGGCCACGGAGGAGGAGGAGGAGGAGGAGGAGGCCAGGCTCGTTCCGTACGCTGGCCTAACGTAAACAGGAGGGGGAGGAGGAGGAGGAGGAGGAGGAGGAGGAGGAGGAGGACCAGTGCAAACCCAAGCAAACCCAAGACCCATTAACGATATTGCTATACACCCGTCCTCCAGGTTCCCTCCGCACGGGTCTCTAGGCACAAAGGTTCATTTGCCTTCGGGGAAGAGCCCCGTTGGAAGACAACCGATTGAACATCCGGGACTGTGCCAGAAGACCATTCCTGGAACTCGAATGCCGCGAATCACCATTACTGTTGCATCCTGACGATCCTGCATCGTGCCAGAACGCCGTTAATGAGACTCCGATACGGCGAATCAATTTCACCGTTGCGCCCTGACCTTCCGACGTCGTGCCACAGCACCGTTCATGGGACGTTAACAATGAGAAACTTGACAAATGTTCGAACTCTTGAAACAAGTGTGCGCGGTGCTAAGGCGAGAGCCACATTTTGAAAACGGAGCGCCCTCTATGCGTGAAAATCCTAGACCTCTTGAAGACGAATGTGCGCGGCGCCAAGGCGAGAGCCGCATTGTGAAGACGGGCCGCCCTCCATCCGTGATATTCCTGTAATGTTTGAGACGACTGCGTGCGGCGCCAAGGCGAGAGCTGCATTTTAAACACGGGCCGCCCTCAATCCGTGAAGCACTTGTACTGTTTTAAGACGATAGTGCGCAGCGCTAAGGCGAGAGCCGCATTTTTGAAAACGGATCGCCCACGACCAGTAACATTCCTACAACTGTTTAAAACGAATGTGCGTGGCGCTCAGGCGCGTGCCACATGTTAAAGTGACCCGCCCTCCATCCGTGAACGTGCCCGGTCTTTCGACTGGCCTCGGGATGCGACAGGGAGGATATATTTATGAGGAAGAGGGATGGAGGAGGAGGAGGAGGATCAGGTGCAGGAGGAGTCGAAGGATCAGGATGAGGATGATGATGATGAGGAGGAGGATGAGGAGGAGGAGGGAAATGAAGAGGAGGTATGGGAATCGGCACTACGTGGGCCCAGTGGCAACCGAGCAGGCCCTCCCGGCTGCCAACAGAACAGCCAGAACTACAGGGGTGGCCGCGAAGTGGGGGGATTGGTTGGGGGCGTCGTGCCATTGCTCCTCCTGGAGGGCGCTGCGCTGTGGGGTCCTGGAATAGCCCTGTATTGTTAGATTCCTCCGCCTCCACCTCCTCCTCCTCCTCCTCCTCCACCTCCTCCTCCGCCTCCACCACCTCATCCTCCTCTTCCCTCTCACCACCCCTACGTAACGCGCTTTGTGGCCATCAGTTTTCCCAAACAGGGCGTGCACCTGGGCGTTTTTCTATTCTACTAGCGTGATTGGACGGGTCCGCCGAGGATTTCCCAGGTTGGCGCCCCGTGCTCGCCAGTGGGCGCCTCGTGGGCGTTCGTGGACGCTCCGTGCCCTGGGAGGCTCCGCCGAGGCTTTGCCTCGCTGGCCCCCCGCGTCCGCTCCTGCGCGCTCGAGAGGGCACTCGCTGGCGCCCAGTGCCCTCCGTGGGTCTGCCGGGGCTTCGCCTCGCGGACGCCCCCGGTGGGTCCGCGGGGGGTTCGCCTCGCGGGCGCCGTGGGCGCCTCGTGGGCGCTCGCGGGCGCCCCGTGCCCCGCGTTGGCCCGCCCGCCGAGGCGTCGTCTGGTGCCCGCCCGCGGGCGCCTCGCGGGCGCTCGTTGGCGCTCCGTGCCCCGGGTGGGTCACGTAGCTCACGCACCGCAGCCCAAGCCGCAGCGCTTGCACCGCCTGGCTTGCACACCGTAGCTCAAACGGCACAGGTCGCACCACACACACATCGTCAGCATCGGTAGCACCACATGGCTCACATCACATAGGTTGCAACACATAGCCAGCCCAAATGTGCTCACTCCGCGCAGCTTGAACAGCACAGCTATCGTCACTGATCTGACCCCGCATGTCTTCCACCTCCATCGTACAATGCCTCGCTGTTTTGGGTCCATGGTGGCGAACATGTCTGTCAAGGAGAGATGGCGGGCTCTGGGCACCCCCTGGCTTGCCCTCGGGGGGGTGGCCAGCCGACCACGACCCGAGAGGAGGAGGGAGGCCGCCGCCTGCGCGCCGGGGGCGGCTAGCGGGGCGGGCCCCGGCGGCGTCTGCCGACTGGGAGAGTGGAGGGGTGCGGAGGCCACAGGATCCTCTTGGAACGAGCTGGGGGGGCTGAGGCGGCCCAGCACTGGTTCCGGCCAGCAGAAAGGAGGGACGACGACACGTCCCCATGGCTGGACGGGGCTCGGAAGGGGTCTTGGGATTGCTTTTGCGCGAATGTGCCTCCATATCTCCCCCTTGACAGGTTTTCTCTGGGCTCATCCAGTTCGAACCCCTCCAAGGCCTATCGGGCCTTGCGCCGCCGAGCTCCTAGAGGCTTTATTCGGATAAGGGGAGGGAGGTGGCGAGGGAGGAGGAGGGAACCGACAGAGGGGAATAGGGGAGGGGGGCAGCTGCGCCAGCCAGCAGGCAAGGAACCAGGCGACGGGCGGAAAGCGGCGGAAAGCGGAGGCGGGGTCGGGGAAGGGTCGGCCAAGGAGGCGCCGACCGGGCAGGGGCAGCGGGCTGGGCCCCGCCTGCCCTCTTTTCCGCCGCGAAGAACTCAGAGCAGAAAGTAATTTCCCCACATCTTCAGTGGGTTTATTGTTTTGTTTGCGCAGGAACAGCAGGCAGAACACCCCGCCACCATGAACATCATAATCATCATCATCATCATCATCATCATCATCATCATCATCATCATCATCATCATTATTATCATTATCATTATCATTATCATCATCATCATCATCATCATCATCATCATCATCATCATCATCATCACAATCATCATCATCATCATCCTCATCCTCATCCTCATCCTCATCCTCCTCCTCCTCCTCATCATCACCATCACCATCACCATCACCATCACCATCACCATAACCACCATCATCATCAGCATCATCAGCAGCAGCATCCGTTACATTTGGAACGATACTGAGAATAGTATCATGATCTGTGCGCAAGGATGGCACACACATCGATACGCGTATACAATCATCAGCGGCATCATCATCGTCATCTTCATCACCATCACCGTCACCAGCATCAACATCATCAGCGTCATCATCGGCGTCATCATCATCACCACCATCATCGCCAGCATCCGCAGCATCACCATCACAACCATCATTATCGGCAGACTCGTCATCATCATCACCATGCGCATCGCCAGTATCATCATCACCACAATCACCATCACCATCATCATCACCATCACCACCGCAATCGTAATCACCACTTTCATCACCTTGTCAACAACATCATCACCGCCATCATGCCATCATCATCTTCACAATCATTACCACCATTAGCACCTTTGTCATCTTTATCATCATCGGCGTCATCGCCATCGTCGCCATCATCACCATTACCATTGTCATCGCCAGCAGCACCATTGCCATCACCACCGCCATAATCATAATCGTCAGCAGATTCATCACAATGCCCAACACCATCATCATTAGCAGCAGCATCATCGTATCACACGTATGTACGGAATCATTAACACCGTCACATCCGCATTCACACACCCACACATTGATGTTGAAGAAGTCTCGAGCGGGAGCTCTGCCAGTGAGGGAACTGGGAGGAAGTCTTAGACGGGAGCCGCCTCGCTACGGGGCCACCAGATCATGATACCAATGCGAGTGGGTCATCCAGATCTTGCAACTATCGTCAAGTTTGGGTTCATCCTCCCCGCTCCCTCCCTCGTTCCCTCTCTCCTCCTTCCCCCTTCCCGCCTACGTCCTTTCTTCTTGCTTGTGCCGCCCTGCCTCCTGCATCCCTTGCCTTATCCCTACCTCCATACCACCCCTCTTGTCGTTGTCCTCGTCCTCCTCCGTCTTTTGTCCCCCTCCCCTCACTGTCCTCCTTTCTGGTATTTTTTTCTGGTGCTGCTGCTTCTCCTTCCAAGCCACTGCCCTCCCCGTATTGTTGTGGGAGGGAATGAGGGAGAAGGCGGGGCCCTTTGACTCGCTCGACCTGACTGGTTTGGTTAAACTCCTTCTCTTGCCCCATGCTCCGTGTCTCAAGTTGGTACTCCCGCTGCAGCGTGGGCCTCGTTTTCGGATCGTGGCCGCGTTGCTCCCGTCGTTTAGAATGGCGATCTCGCCCCAGCGCGGGTCACTTTTCTGGATCCGAGTTCTTCCTGCTCGTTGTCGCCCCCTCCTTTCCCGTCTTTCGTCTTCCCCTTGTGCTCCTGCTCAGTCCTCTCCTTCCACTCCAGTTGTCACTGCTGCTGTTTGTCCTCGTCTTCGTGTTCTTTCCTCATCCTCAAATTTGTTATCCTGCTCAGATCCCTCCTTTCTCATTGAGCATAACGCGATAGGGGTCTTTTGAGGAGTTCCAGGTCCGATAATTATGACACGCGTCTGGGGAGCGTTCAGCGCAAGGGACGGGATGGGTGGAGCGGTAGGATGTCAGGTATGGCGCGGGCGCACTTCGCCTGCCCCCCACACTCCCATCCCCGAAGCCTGCGGGTCCCTCACCCCCCCCGTCCTGCAGTCGGCCCGCAGAAAGCTGAAAGGGAAGAAGGCGCTGGTCTTTGGCGGCACCTCTGGCATCGGCCTCGCCGCTGCGCGGCAGCTGTCCGAGTTGGGAGCCGCGGTCGTCGCCATCGGCCGGGACCCTAGCAAGGCAGGCGTTCTTGAGGGTGTGCAGTATGAGCAGTGCGACGTGCTCGACAGGGAGGGGCTGGCCAAGCTGTTTGACCGGCATGCCCCGTTCGACATCCTGGTCAGCACGGCCACGGGAGGCACGCGCGCCATGGGCCCCTTCCTCCAGATGGACCTGGACGGCTTCCAGGCCTCCTTTGACAAACTATGGGGCTACGCCAACGTCGTACGCTTGGGCGCCCCGCATCTTGCGACGACGGGATGCATCGTCCTCGTCAGCGGTGCGCCCGCGCGCCGCGCGAAGCCCGGGCAGATTGCGCTGGCTTCCGTGGGCGCCTCTGTGGAGCAGTTCGCCCGGGTGCTGGCCGCGGAGCTCGCCCCCCGACGCATCAACGTGGTGTGCCCCGGAATCATCGAGACCCCGATGTTCGGGCCGGAGGGCGAGGATCGAGACATAGCAATCGGCATAAACATAAGCAGGAACTTCTGGAAGTCCGCGCGGATGTCTTGGATCGGTGCTGGAGGTGCCACAAGAAGGGCCCAGCGCCGATCCAAGACACTCGTGCGGAGCTCCGACATACAGTTTGTGCTTGTGTCGCAGTTTGTTCTGGAGGAGCGCGCCTCGAGGCTGGCAGGCGCGACGTCGGGGCACCTGGTCCCGCGGCCAGGGACGGCCGACGAGGTCGCCAGAGCGATCCTGTTCACCATGCGGGTCGGACGACAGGAGGGGGGACCGGGTGAAGGGGGGGGTGCGAAATTTGCTGCATGCAGCTGGGTTCGGCCCCGCCGCCAGGCGCGCTCCTCGGTGCACTGGCGCCTCCTGCGGCGGGAGGCGCCAGGGAAGTCGGCCACGCGAGCTGACTCGCGAACCCCCCCTTTGCTGACCCCCCGATTCGCCCGACCCAAGCCATCGAGAGCGACTTCGTGACGGGGACCACGGTGGACGTGGACGGGGGGTGGCTCGCCGCACTCTGAGACGGCCAGACGGCCGCCCGCAGCTACCCTGGATGTTGCTCGTCGGGCGTGCGGCGCGATGCGCGCCTTTTTCTTGCCACCCTCGGCCACTTTGGACGCCGGCATGGAACAGAACAGAACAGAACAGAACAGAAGCTCACCGCCCACCAAGCCACCCCAAACCAACCCGAAGGCCCCGATTTGCCCTCCCTTTCCAGTAGAGGGGGGTCAGGGAACATTGAGAAAACACGTATGAAGCCCGTACCCCCCCCTCAACCCGAAATTCGGGTCTTCGGGTTGGGTTGGGGTGGTCTGGTAGGTAGTCAGAAGCCATGCGCCAGCCATCGGCACGGCGCTTGGGCACCACTGTCGTCATTGAGCCGGGTTTCCAGCAGGACGCGTGGTCAGAAAGAAACAGCAGAACGCCCGATTGTGAAACAGAAGTCGGGTCACGCGGGGAGGGAGGAGGGGGGGGGGGACGACGACGACGAGGAGGGGAGAATCATGAATTGGGATGCACAACACCTGTTGTCCAACACCGACAGCGGCCGCTCTTGGACAGGCGGCCTTGTGTCTCGAGTGGACAACGGCCGCGCGACGCCGACAGCGAGCCCTGCTCAGAATGAACCAGAACTGCTGCTGGACTTTGTACCTCTATTCTGAAGTCGGGCACGTCCCTCTACAGGAGGAATCTTCAAACATAGTACAAAAGTAGTCTGGGGACGATTTGTCTTGTACGACGTATTTTTCAATCTGTTTGGTTATTTTTGATGTTTTATTTTTCGTTCAAATTCCGCCTGTAGGGGGACAGGCCCGACCTAAGTCTATTCTTTCCGCACCCATTTCGATCGTCCCGGCGCACCCTTCAGCCTTCAGGATGCAGCCTTGCAGCCATCAAAGGCCTGCATATCACTGTGCTCTCTGCCATCGAAGGCGCCACATGGCTAGACCATCCGCCTGCACCCTCGCAGGCGGCGTGGGCCAAGGGCCTGCGGTCAGTCCCAGGCAGTCTGCGGGAGCCTCACGGCAGCATCTCGCGGTCGGCTAGGTCGGGCTGGACGAAAGGGTAGGATAGGGAAAGGAGGGGATTACGAAGCCAGTTGCGTGCATCTGGTTTCCGCCGGCCCATCCTCGACACAGAGGCCGCCAGGAGGCGCCAGGAAAACCAGCTACGTGAGCTGATTCTCTACCCTACCCTTTGCTATCCTACCCTTTCGTCCCCCCTGATCAAGGCAGCCTCCAGTCTCGGTGAGCCCAACTATCGAATCAGAAAAACGTGGAAGGGGATCCAGCTCCGATTTCAGAAGTTCGCGCGACCTTCGACAGTTGATTTCGCACCGAGTCCTTGGAGCCTCGAGGTTTACAAGAGAGACCAAGAGTTATGTGCACGCGTTCTGCGGGAATGAATCACGCGGGATTTTCCGATGGCACGCGGGGGTCTCCAGGGCTTCCAGCATCTACAGTCTTGGCAGTCTCAGGCCAGTACCCATCGCTCGCTGACCGTGGGAGTCCCGAGCTCCAATCTACTTTCAGGCGCCTTCCTGTGTCAAGAATCGAGCGGGCATCCCTCTTCCGTTCTTTTCAGGGGGGGCGTGCGGCAACCCAGTCTTCTTTCAACGCCTTGCGCCTTCATACTTCATGCTTCTGTTCTCTTCTACCAGATCATTGATAGTGTTTCAAATCTCTGACCAACGCATCCGACCAAGTACGTGGAAGCTCGCACATGAACGCGACAGCCACTACACCTGTGCGAATCCGAAACCAGAACATGCGCTCCCGATCGTCAGGAGGATGCTGCGGCATGTGTCCAGCTGCGAACAGGGAGGGGGGGGGCAGCTCTTCCATGAGCAGCCGAGGCAAGTGGGCACACAGATCCAAGATCTAGTTCCACAGCTTCGCCGTGGTCTTCCGCTGGCTCCGCCCTCCTGCTGGCGTTCTGATCGGCCTTCGATCGCTTTGCTCAGCAAGTCGCTGGGAAGCTTTCTGGCCAGAACCGATACCCTCGCGGTGAGGGTTCCTTCCCTGCCTTTTGGCAGGGGCCGCAGCCTGGTGGAGTGGGCAACTCGGCGCGTCGCACCCCGCCGCTCTGCCCCTCCCCCATTCCCCTCTCCCTCGGTGGCCTCTGGATTGGAGAGGCCTGACGGCCGGTGCCGCCGACCCTGATCGAAAGGGCTAGGAGGGGGGGAGGAAGCGGAGGAGGAGGAAGCGGAGGAGGAGGAGGAGGAGGAGGAGGAGGAGGAGGAGGAGGAGGAGGAGGAGGAGGAGGAGGAGGAGGAGGAGCCCCCCTCCCTCGGTGGCCTCGGGATTTGAGAGGAGTGTGGGTGGCCTTCCTTCCGCCCTCCTCCCTCCCTCCCCCCCGCCGCCGCCGCCGCCGCGTCGCGGCGCGCCCCCGGGTGCGCTCCGCGGGCGCGGCGGCGCTCCGGGTGCCGCCCGCCGGCGCTGCGCAACTGGGACTGCCAGTGGGGGTGGTCCTTCCCATCGCCAGTCCGCCAGCGCCCCTTGGGGAAGTCCTGGGGAAGCAGCTGGGACTTAGGGACTTAGAGAATACTTCGAGTCGGGAGACTTCGGGACGGGCGCAGGGGTGCGGACGACGGTGGCGATTTGAAGGGAGCAGCGAGGAGGTAGGCGGAGGCTGGGAGGACGGAGGGAGGGGCAAGGGCTGGAGGGAGGGGCGACGGGGGCCTCAACCCGACCACCTCCTCGTCCTCTTCATCCTCTTCTTCTTCCTCCTCCTCCTCCTCTTCTTCCTCCTCCTCCTCCCCATCCATGACTTCCCCATGCATGTCCTCCCCTATAGGGTCGGACTCCGATTTCGGTGAGTCCGACCACGAGGGCGTCGAGTAAGCCAAGTTTTGACCGCCTTCAGGGCCAACCCAACCCAAGCCTAGCCAAGCCTCCATGCCCTCCTTTCAATGGCCGTTTTCGGCCATGGCGGCGGCGCGGGCTGGAGGACGCGCTCGAGGAGATGGTTGCCGGATGCTGCCCGCCGGGAGGCGACCGCGGCGCACGGCGCGCCGCGAGGCCGACGCTGGCTTGCTGGGGCCCTCCGCTGCTCGCCGCGCGGCTCGCGCGCGAGCCCGGGTGGCAGGCGAGGCGGGCTCGTGCGCGGCACTGGGCGCTTGCGGGACGCCGGGCCCGTGGCGCGATCGAGAGTTCGCCTCTCAGCCGGTGCTGCGGTTCCCGGCGGCTGGGCGTCGCGTCTCTGGTGCTGCCGGGAGACGGCGCAAGGCCGCGCAGCATGCCACGCGAGTGCCTGCTGGCGGCTTCGTTGCGGCGTCGGCGTCGCAGCTGGAGTGGGCTGCGTGTGGCCCGCGGCTGGACGCGCAGGGCACCCGGGCTTGGTGCGGCGTCGCTGACAGTAGCGAGGAGGCGACAGGGTGGCAGGTCGACGTGGACGGCATGGCGGCGGCGCCGTCTCTCCGAGGGGCCTCGGCGCCCTTCGAGTCCCAGTCACCGTGGGCTGCAGGCGGCCTCCACTCTGATGCTCGGGTGTTCCACGTGGCCGAGCTGGAGCCGAGGCCCTTGGCGTGGAGGGTTTCTCCGAAGGGCTAGGCGACCCGTCCTCCTCCTCCTCCTCCTCCTCCTCCTCCTCCTCCTCCTCCTCCTCCTCCTCCTCCTCCTCGGGTCGCCTGCGGCCCCGGGGGACACCATGCACCTTGGCGCAGGCCGATGCCTTGTCGGTCGTGCGCGCGCCCTTGCTGTCGGAGGACTTTCCGCCCGATGGGTTATTGCAGGGCCAGGTCGGGGAGGCGGTGTCGGAGTTGAGGGTGGAAGCTTCGAACTTCATCCCTGGTGCTGGACGCTGGGAGGCCGACCCCGTCCGCGAGCGGCATGCGCTGCTCACGTGGCGCCGTTCTCTCCTCGGGTGAGGTGGTGATGGTTGTGTCTCGGCGGCGAGCGCATTGCTGCACGATGTCGTTCCCCAGAATGTGTTGCGATGGGTACGATCTGGATTCAACTCATTATGTTGTTGTTCTCTTTGTTCAACGATCCTTCTACAGGAGGTCAGTGCAGCGTGCTGCGCGCAGTCCTCCACAATGCGTTGCGTATCTAAGATCTGCTTCTGGCTCTCAGTGTTCGTGTCTGTACACGGTGTTTCGCGCACTTGATCCGAAGTATGACCATTGTTTATGTTTTGTCAGGGTCATACACGAGATGAGTATACACGCATATTGCTGCGTTCCGCAACTGAATCTCCGTGAGTGGGCGTGGTGCCCGTGCTAGCCTTGAGACAAATCAGGTTGGAGCCTCTCAGTGCAATCGTTTGCAGCTGGATATGTCTCCAAGGTGAGTTGCTCTTCCAGGTGCGGGTTGGCCGCCTTCAGGAAATCTGTGCTGCGGTGAGCGTGTCCCACGAGGCGCCGAGCCGCAAGGAGATCCCCGCGGAGGCGGTCCACGTCGAGCGCAGTGCTGTCGGGGGGTTCTGCGCTCCTCCGGTGGAGCCCAGGCCCTCCGCGGTCCGTCGTGGGGGGGGAGAGGCGGCGTCTCAATCCAGCAATTCCAGCAATTCCACGTCCTCCCCGTCCTCCCAATCATCCCCCCCGCCCCCGAGAGG